ACATACACATAAAAACAAATTAGACATGTTGTTTGGTTCATTGTGATCAGACTTGACAATAGTACTTATATTAAGATTATCAGTTCAGCATGGCTGAACACACCAAGTAAGAAAGTTTATACACATATACAATACCACCCACAGAATGTCAAAAATTCGCGACATTCCGGGGATTTCGCGACATTCCAGGAATTTCGCGACATTCTGTGGCGACAATCCGGGAATTTTGTGAAATTCCGCAAATTTTGCATGTTACTGAGCGGTATTGTACCTGACTGATAAATTGATAGAACAAAAATCTTTTCTCTGCTGCTAGCAGATGCCCGCTAGAAACGCGCTTTGTGGATTTTTCATCCATACCTTCATTTTAGTGAATCTATAAGCTTTTCTACAGTTATGACAATACCATACAGTTATGACAGTGAGATGTGAAAATTCTCGGCGATTTCGGCAATGTCAGCGAAAAACACAAAGTCGCCGCTTTCGCCGACATCGCCGAGAATTTTCACATTCGAAAGTCATGACTGTTTGACTGCATATATGATGCAAATCTTCAAATTCCCTCTCAAACGGATCACTCATTGGCTGACAACAACTTTCATACTATTCTGGTGCTTGGCACATTATAGGGGTGAAAATTCGCCAAAACACACTATTCTCAAATTTGGGAGATTCATGAGAACGTAAGTTTGTAACCTCATAATCTGACGAATAGTGCAGATAGCGGCCTTTGCTAATCACTACCCTATAGCGTTCTTTACAGACAGAGTTATGATGATTTTTTCCTCCAAACGGATCAAAAGCAAAAAAATCCATCAAAAGGAGGAGCAAAAGTTGCATCGAATAGCACCCAACATACTGCCGGTTGACATTTCATGAGTTTCAAAAGGTTTGAGTTGATCAAATATGGAAATTTGTAGCATCTGATGGTCTGCTACTAAAAAATTATGGCAAGCTATAACAGGAGAAAAAAGCTGCACTTCTTCTGTATGACTTGCTCTATCCAACTGTTGCCTCGGAGAGTTGATATGAAAGTGAGAGATTGCGAAAACCGATTATCTCAAATACCTTCGGTCGCATTTTGGTAATTTGCCGAGAGTTTATTGAAATGCCGCAATGATTTGAAAACATCTAGAAAGAGGATGAAATGCTCCGTCGAATGCTACCAAGATCTTTTACATTTTACAAATCCTTGTTCCTCGAAATGTGGCATTCATTTGAAAGGGCAATTTTTTTAAGCGACCTAATACTGGGTCAAAATGTCATAAGTTTTTGTGTTTTTTCGAAAACAAATGTAAAATTCGGCTCTTTTAAGTCACCCGAGAAGCTTCCGTTTCCACATTGCTCTAGGCACATCGCATTACAAGCTGCCTCTTTCGCCACAGGCATTCAGTGATGTGCCGTGATAATCTTGAAAAAACCGAGAATATTACAGCGAGAAAAAACACTGTCATTCGATCCGAAATATGTTTTTTTACGCTTGAAGTGGACGCACTTGGGCATTTTTTCATGCCAATATTCTCGTTTGATGTGAAAGACAGGCTCTCGCATTTACAAAGCAAAAACTTCAGTTAATTTCAGGACGAGGACAAGTAATAATCCTTATGTGACTTAAGTAATCTCCCGAATAATACATGCCATTAACTGCAATATCGTTTTTTATGTTTAAAGTATAAGTGCTTTGGTCATAATCATCTGCTCTAACTATTTTTAAAGCTAGGGTGCCTTCTTGGCAATTGTCACATCATAATCAGAAATGCACACCATGCTTTTTCAACACCCCGAATCGGCTGGATTTGTTCCACATGGGTCAGCTGCTCTCTATAACATAGAATACCGCTCATAATCTGTATAAATGGAGCTGAATGTTTTTATATGTGTATGCGTGTCTGTATGTATATTCCGTTTTATTTCTGAACCGAGGCGAAATAGCTTTGCACACAGATACGCTTACAGATATACATACATACACTGATACTCGTTTTTTTGCAAAGTTTGAGTGTTGAGCCAGAGAGCGCGGCGTATGAGTGTACGTGACCTGCGCAGCGTACGCGTGGTATATTTCATCATAGGAGCGTACGCGGCGTACGCTGCATATGTCGCGTTCGCCTCAGTCTGGCCCAACCCTGAGCTACCCTCTGGGTTGGGCCAGACTGCGCGGCGTACGCGACGTACGCAGCGTACGCCGCGTATGCTCCTATGATGAATACCGAGCGTGCGCTGCGTACGCCGCGTACGCCGCTTCCCCGCGAAGTCTGGCTCAACCCAGAGCTGGGGGCTGGCACGGGGGGGGGGGGGGGTAAGTGAGCAAGCTGATTGCGAGTATATAACTGACAGCTGGGTTTGCTGCAAATTCGTTAGTGAACAGTTTTTCGTGAACATAACTGCCACGTTTGACGGGCTCGACAGCTGTAACGCTAAGTCAATGGTCAATGATCTTTGAATTTCTTGCGAAACCTTCGATACAGACGCTAATATGTTCGGAGTTAGCGAATTTTGCATATAAGGATACTAGTCTAGGTACCAGTCGCGTGGTTTCTATTAGGCCCAAGGCATACCTCCCGCGATTTCGCGAAATAGCCACATCCTCGCGACTTGTCGGTTTGCCAGATGTCTAGAGATTAAGCATGCGAGGCTCTCAGATGCATTGGTGCGTAGATCCCGTAAATTGTAACAAACACAGCAAGTCTGGCCCAAGCAAAGTGCGTTTACGACCAGCTATGGAGAGTCGTTGCAGGCCAAATCGCGCGGCGACTAAAATCGCGTGAAGTATGCCTTAGGCCTTACAATCATTGACTGGAACAAATTTTGCACATATACACATCGCGGCGGGGCAGCCTGGGCCATATCGTTTTCGTTATTCTTCGACATCGACTTGAAATTTTTGTGAACTCAGAGGATTTGGTTCTTTAGTTTTGGTTCAAATGGTTCTTTATGATGTTTTTTCTTAAATTAAAATGGTTGCGGTTTGCTTTGATCTACGAATTCTCAGAAAATACTGGAACAAAAAAATCCCAAACTTTTAGTTAAGTTAGAGCCACCTTCTGCGCAAAGTATTAGGTCGTTCCGAAAGTATTTTCGCCTTTTTCATATGAATGTCATATTTCATGGAACAAGGAATGAGATTTTGGTAGTATTCGATACAGCATTTTGTCCTCTTTCGAGTGACTATGAACTCATTGCAGTGAAGTGAGCTCGAAAATACCAAAAGCTCCTGCTATTACCGATTGAGGAGATAATTGCTCTATCAGTACGATACTACATCTCTGCTCTGTACAAAGTGTTAATGGTTTCTCACACTAAAAAATCATATTACTGAGATTCGATTTGCTGTTTGAAAAAAATGCACCTTTCCTAGTTCAGTCATTCTAGGATTGCTATCGCTATATTGACTCAACAGGACAAACTACCAAGGCATTTTGCCCTCTCTGTCAATCAAACGTTTAATACACTTATACAGAGTACTGAAAATAGCAAACAAAGCATTTTTGGCTAACTAAGTTAGCTGTAGCTACCACGTGGTAAATAGAGTGACTGCTATTTTGAAAGTGGCAATTTTTATGTGAAGTTCCACAGGTTACGAGGAATCTTCAGAGCATTTTTGGAAAAGCATATTATGAAACACTTTTTTGTTTTTTTAGTATCATTTTGTCAAATACCCTACAAGATTGTAGAAGAAGTCCTGAAATGAACTGAAGTTTTTTGTAAATGTGGGAGCCTGTTTTTCACATCAAACGAGAATATCGACATGAAAAATGCCCATGTGCGTCCACTAAGCGTAAAAAAAACATATTTCAGATTGAGTGACAGTGTTTAAACTCATATGAATGAGTGTAAGTCTCGCTGTAGCATTCTCGGTCTTTTCAGGATTATTACGGCACATCACTGAATGCCTGTGACGAACGAGGCAGCTTGAGATGCGATGTGCCAAGAACATTGTGGAAACGGAAGCCTCTCGGGTGACTTAAAAGAGCCGAATTTTACATTTGTTTTCAAAATCACAAAAAGTCATGACATTTTGACCTAGTATTAGGGCGCTCCAAAATTCTGCCCTATTCAAATGAGCGCCACATTTCGAGGAACAAGCATTTGTAAAACATCTTGGTAGCACTCGATGCATCATTGCATCCTCTTTTTAGAGGTTTTCAAGTCATTGCGGCATTTCTATGAACTCTCGGCAAGTAAAATGCGACCCATGGTATTTGAGATAATCAGTTTTCACAATCTTTCAGCTTTCATATCAACACTCCGAAGAACAGTTAAATAGAGCAAACCATATAGAAAAAGTACAGCTTTTTTCTCCGATCTGTAGCTTGCCATAATTTTTTAGTAGCAGACCATCAGATGCTACCAATTTCCATGTGATCAACTTAAAACTTCAAGACTCATAGAACGTCAACCGGCAAGTGTCTTGGGTGCGATTCGATGCACCTTTTCCTCCTCTTTCTGATGGGGGTTTTTTTGTTTTTGATTCGTGTGGTCTTGGAGGCCACTACTGGCATTGCGTGAGGTATGGCCAAGGCCTTATGACTAAGGCGTTGCGCAAACTGCAGCATTTGAGAGCAGTTGTTTTGACTCAAAATGCGTTTTTCTCGAGTTTCCGGTTTTCTTCCAGTCCTGATACTCTTGTAACAAGACTGAAGCATTTGGTCAATCAGTTTCTATAGAAATCGAAGGCGAAATTACGCAATCATATGAATTTTGAATGAAAAGGTGCGTTTACTGTATAAAAGTTTGTCGTCAATCGTTGCTGCAAGAACTTTTAGAAATCTGGCTTTGATTCAGTGAGGCAATAGTCTTCAATCAAAATTCCTGCGATACAGGTGGAAAGTGCAGTCAGCGGATTATAAACATACAGCAGCACTTATGGTAGCTTCAGCAGGTCAAGTGAATGATCTAAAATATTGTGGAGTCAGGTGGCGGGTGACAGCTGTTTCGCTTAACTGATTACAGTGTTCGAGTCACATAGAATAGATGTAGAAATTGGGTCACTAGCAACGATGTGTCATCCATATCATCTGTGTTTCATTCTCAGCGTAAGTCGCATTGATCTATGTGTGTAGCTATATCATTGTTGAGATTCCAGGTGATTTTGTGTATTAGAGCTGCATACGGCCAATGGGATGATTATAGTCTCAAGCGTGAAGAAAGAAAAGAAATGAAAGCGGAAATCAAGAGAATAAAGGCTAAGGTAAGTTTGCTGTTTATGCTTTTTACGACCTCTCTCAGTTTCCTCTGCCAATATAAAGGGCCCAGGTATGCACTGTTTGAGTTTGACCGTTGATAACTCTCTACAAAGTTTTTTGCTGACCTTTCTTTACCATTATGTAGAAGGCAGCTTCAACTTAGATGCATATGGAGCAATTCATCGATCGCTCTTCATTACTATGAGATTACATAGAAACTTCTAGCATGAAACGGCATAGTGATGAACGGTTTCCGAAAATTTCAGGAAAAAGTATGATGGTGTATTCGCATGACTTTCAGACAAATCAGTGTTGGAAAGTACAAGTTATTTTAAGGATTGGAGACCCTAATTGGCTGAGCGCAAGTGTTTTCAGCTTGCTTGGTTTTCATACTGAGGCTACCCTTCTCGAAATTTCTACCTTAATTCAATAGTAATGAAGAGCTTTCGGTAAATAACACCATATTATAGATCTAAATTGTACTGAGCTCTACATAGTGTCAACTGTACTTCGAGCGACACTGTGGGAAGAGAGTTAATAACGTACAAACGGAATACATCCTTTTGGGACTGAAGTACTAATTTTCTAGTACTCTCGCAGAATAGAGGAAAGAGTTGTCGATGAAATCTCTTTGTTCACTCTGAATTACAAACTTGAAGAACCAAAAGACGTGACGAGACTAGTAAAGTTTGTGAAAAAACACGAAAAGGCATTTGGCTACAAAACGCAATACTTCATGTGAGTTCATTCTATTCATTCATTGAAATAGAGCAACCACAAATAATCTCCAGGTCCAAGGATGACTTGTATATCCATATGAAGACGACCTCTGAAGGAAAAGTTGGCTGTGCTCATCTTCCGCGTAATTTCTGCGGATACATATGCCTCATCGAGGAACATATTTCGTTATGGTGAAACTCATTTTCTCATTGTTGCTGAGATAAAGTTTTCTTATTGCAACACCTACTTCTTACCACCATAAACTTATGGACCTTCAGCTTCTACCATTGACAAGCACACTCACAAACGGCGTATGAAGGTGTATGGTTGGGAAGGAAAAGGTAAAATACGAAGCTTTCTAACATTCAAGGGCAGTACTTGAGCACTATCGCCATCGCCACCGGAACGTTAGACAATTGCAATTTTAGATCAACTCTGCTCTATAAGGGAGGGTCGAGTCAAAATGGTCGATTACCACAGGATTTATACCGTTACAAAGAGCTTAAGGCACTGAAATCAAATCTACTTATCCTATATTTGGAACGCTTTTGAGTTACGCCTTTCGTTGACACAATTCGCATAGTTTTGAGTGAGTTATCACGGAAATCGTTCAAATTCTTATTGCTTGTTGTTTAGAATAACCTCAAAAAGGGTCAGCATTACATTGAGCATGGATGCTGTTTCAAAGTGGTTTAAAACGAAAGTGCTTAAGTGTTGATAGTTCTGGCTATTCTGATCCTCGTAAATTTCCCGCAAAGAAAATCCCATAACTTCCTCTTTACAAGCGTTCTACAGATAGATTTGAATCCGCTTCAAGCCCTTCGTGATGACATGCATCTTGGAGTGATCGGCCTCTTCGGTTTCGCGACCCTACCTTGTTAGAGCACAACGCCAAAGGAAATAAATACTAAAATGGAATCGTAACTTAATCGTACTTAGATGGCGCGTCCTTAAGTGCGGCCATTCAGAAGTTGCCATATTGCCTGTCCCTCGCTTTCGTCACGAGTTGCAGGTGCTAAAATCGTATTCAGTTGATTTCCCAGCTGGTCCATTCCGCGAACGCGACTGCCCATTTCATAAGTGGCCTTCCTCGGGACGTTTGGCTTCGCGAGCAATCCACTCAGATGTTCTTAGTGTCCACCTGTCGTCTGTTCTTTTCTTGATGTGATCGGCCCATCCATGCTTCTCTCTCGCAAGGTATTCCGCCAGGTCACAAAAAATGGGACATTCTGCTTGCATTCGTACTGCGAAGTTTAACTAATTGTTGTTTATCTGGTCATCTTTAGAAGACTGTGCTCAATCGCTCCGTGGGTGGTCCGCAAAGCTTTTGACATGGCTACAGTATCGGCTCAAGTCTCAGTTGTGTAACAGAGCGCCAAAAGTCGATGTCGTCCGCAAAACGAAGGTTCGACAGACATCTTCTATCAACTCGTGTGCCTATCTCCTTTTAGTTCATTGGCTTCACCGCCCACTGCAGGCCGCGGTGAACAGCTATGGCGAAATTGTGTTGCCTTGTAGGACTCACTTCCCAAATGGGATGGTCAGGAGACGATGGAATAACTGCATTGTTGTTGTACAGTGTAGCATTCGGCTAACAAACTGAATTCTCTAAGCTGGGTCCACTCCTTGATCGACTAGCACTGACAGTTTGCATTGTTTTCGACGCTAAAGGATTTCTCGTAATCGACGGAGGTTAGGACAAGAGGCAGTCGGTGATTTCGGCAGACTTTGAGGACCCCTGAAACCGTCTGGATGCGGTTCAATCAGCCCCTTTGCGAAATTCACCATGTTCTTGTTGGCTTCATCCTGTGTCTCCCAAATACGCAAGAGACGATAATATTCCTGGAGCTTGTACAATACATTCAGCAGGCACATTGGACGGTAGTCCCAAAGATGTCCCCCCCCTCTTTTTGAAGAGAAAGACGATTCTTGAGGTTTTCCACTGATCAGAAATCTTTTTTTTGAAGATGAGATGATAGATGCGTCGCGTGTAAATGTTGTCCTTCGGCTCGCAGAAGTTCGACAGAAAAATGGTGTAGTCCAGCTGGGAACGTCTTCATGGTCTAAATCGCTGTGGGACTTCAGGTAGAATACGCGGTGGTACTTTTCTAGTAGGGAAAACAGGCATTGCCACGGGTGTTGAAGCGGAAGTAGTTGGTGTACAATACCACCCACACAATGTGCAAAAATCCGTGAATGCCGCGGAATTCCGGGAATTTTGGAAGATTCCGGAAATTTCGCGAAATCCCCGCAGATTTCGCGACATTTACGGAAATTTTGCATGTTATGTGAGCGTTATTGAGCTGACTGATGAATTGATAGAACAAAAATCTTCTCTTTGCTGCTAGCAGATGACCGCTAGAAACGCGCTTTGTATTTTCCGTCCATACCTTCATTTTAGTGAATCTATAAGCTTTTCTACAGTTATGACAGTGAGATGAGAAAATTTTCGGCGATTTCGGCAATGTCAGCGAAAAACGCAAAGTCGCCGCTTTCGCCGACATCGCCGAGAATTTTCACATTCGAAAGTCATGACTGTTTGACTGCTTGTAATGATGTGATGCAAATCTTAAAATTTCCTCTCAGATGGATCACTCAATGGCTGACAACAACTTTCATACTATTCTGCTGCTTGGCACATTATAGGGATGAAAATTCGCCAAAACACACTATTCTCAAATTTGGGAGATTCATGAGAACGTAAGTTTGTAACCTCATAATCTGACGAACAGTGCAGATAGGGGCTTGTGCTAATAACGGCCCTATAGCGTTCTTTACATAAGTTCTAGTTTACAAAAAAATGCCAGCAAGTCTTTTGATAGATGGGCGAGAAGTGCAAATAAATTTTTAATCTTGCGTGGTTTGACTAAATTATTTTCCAACTTCATTAAGATCTTCAACAGTGGGCTTAGAAACTATTGTGTATGGAGTTTCGATCCATATTACCAATATTTCAGCCAAAACCGGTGGCGAGGTCAAGAGCGAAAATCGAAAATCAAATGGCGCCATTTTCTTAGAAGAGATGAGCATAGAGGTTATGCGACCTACTGATTACAAAAAACACATCTGTTACACATGATACCTTCTTTCTGTAAGGTAACGATGACCAAATTTCAGGTAAATATTGATTCTAACAAAGTTTTAGCCATTTTCGCCTTTATTACAAAACATATTTCGACCCTGTTTAGCTGTTAAGAAACTTGCAAAACTGCTGTATCGAAAGATGTTACATTTCGCTCTCTATCTACATTAAGTATTGAATTGCGTTCTAACAAATTTAGAGGATTACTAGGTTAAATTAACATAAACATTATCAACACCCTGCTAGTACATCTAGCAGATTTTAGTTATCGCTCTGTTAGTTTTTTCCCTCCAAAGAAAATAAAAGTGAATCAAAAGTGGGCGGAGCCTGCAGCTCACAGTCGAAAATGTATAGATTTGTACAAATGTGTATTTTCTAATTTGATGCTAGAGAGGCCAATAAGAGCTAAATAATAGTATTGAACGGAGAAAGCCAGATAAAAGTTGTGTAGTAATATATCAAAGCTTGAAATAATAGCAAATGAGGTTTATAAAAAGTGAGCGGAGCCTACAGTTCACAGTCTAAAGTGCGTAAATTCGTATGGATCTAGAAACGTTCAGCTCAGCAAAATGTGATGTTAGAAAGGCCAACAAAAAATGTATGGTAGTCTTTATGATGGAGATTACAAGAAGGAAATGTTGATTAATTTTTTTTACTGTGAGGGGGTGGGGCATAAAGCTGACTGTAAAGAGATAAAAATTGTATAAAATTGGAAATTTGCAATAATTATTATGAAAGCCAGTTAAAGGCAATATAATCGACATATCGGAAATTCCAAAACCTCCAAAAACGATAAAAATCGATATTCAGGAGATTGCCAAACCGCCAAATCGATAAAATTCGATAATCTAGAAGTTGCCAGACCTCCAAAATCGATGTAATCCTTACCTTGAATTTTTCAAAACCGTTGGCTAATTTTTAACATTTTCTGAATTTCGAAACCTCAAATTTATAGATTTTACCGACTTTCAACATTTTCGACGTTCTGGAGCTTCCGCAATTTTCAAAAATACGAATTTTGCCCAATTTTGGAGATTTCGAACCTGCGAACCACCCAGAACTCCCGACTCCCCACTTTTCTTCAGCTTCACCCACCCTACAGTATATCCTCACCCCATCGAAGCTCCGTCCAGTACACTTCATTTCCTCTCCATCAATTCCCATTTTTTCCATCCATTTACTCAAAAAATCACACAATTCTTGCCGAAATCTCCGCTAGCTCCGCCCTATCTCCAAATACTATAGGGCAGCGCCCTTCACACTATGCTGCTGCCCAATTATTTTCGTCAGCTGATAGTGCATCAAGGGTTGTATCGAATTATTGCTATGACAGTGCCTTGATGATTCTCCTGGAATTATTATTTTATTTTGATTTATCATAAAGTTCTCTGAAAAATTTCACAATCAGGGGCTTCTTAGATCAGCTTCTTGTGTATTCGACCTTCAATTCTTCTGTAAATTTTCTGGTATAGCCCTTCGAATATAAACAGAAATACGGATATTCGGGTACCCTGTCCCCATTTTCCACAAAGATGTGCATAAAAATGTACTTTGCTCTCTTTATAAACCCTCACCTACAGAAGAGCCCAGAGTTCGCTTTTATCATAGAATGAAAAAGCTCACAAAGATGCATATAACTGAATGCCGAACATTTGCTCAACAGCGCAGCTTGGGATGATATGAGGTCACCCTCGCTCCTTGTTTAGCAAATCTGCACTTCTAGTTGTCAATTACAATACCACCCACAGAATGTGCAAAAATTCCGTGAATGTTGCGGAAATCCTTGAATTTCGCGAAATTCCCGCAATTTCGTGAAAGTTCTTAACAATCCTGGTATTTCGCGACATTTACGGAGATTTTGCATGTTATGTGAGCGGTATTTCATAAATGACATGTTCTAAACTCACAAACATTTTGTGGGTACAGTCATCCGTTTATATCAGGCTGCTGCATGACTTCTGTCGATTTGAATTTTCGAATTCAAAAAGTCATAACTTCTTTCAAAGTCAACTTTGTTCCATGATCTTACTTTCACTGTGTTGAGCATTTCAAAATGTTAAGATATGCAAGAAACCTTCTTATAGAAGAGGTAATTCTTCAAAAACTTGTCTTTTTTGACATGTCAATACTCTCTCACAAGAATTGGCAAGCATATTTATTATGGATAAGTAGAGAGATTTTCATAGCTTATTTTGCAGCCTAAAAGAGCATAGGGTCTTCGTGCCGGGAGGTTTTTTTGACCGAACAAAAAAAGAAACTGGTTTTTGACCTCGTTTGGATACATATGCGCATGCCATTTACGAATTATGAAAATCTTGAACTGGACACGAGCGGTGAAGAGGAATTGACGAAAGGACCCTGCTACCTCTTGCTTCACTCTAGCGCCTCCAACTTTGACTCACATAGTTTGCCTCTATTCGCAGAAACTTATTGCTCGTAAAACATTCATACAAAAGATTAATGTTCGACAACGAGTTTTATTAGACGCTTTCTTCATAAAATTGAGCTTGTCTGCATATACTAGCCTGTTACACCCTTATTCGGCAATTATGAAAGAACTTGACTTGAATGGCTCATTGTGGAATTTTCTTGCAATAACATATTTCTCAGGCCTGAGGCATACCTTCTGCGATCCCAGTCGCGTCGCCATTTACAACTCGGACATATGTTCCGAGTACGCAGCGCACGCCCCTCCAAATGTGTGGTGAACGTTGAACGTTGAACGTCAGCGATGCCGCCGTCGCTAGGTCTGCACCAGGAGATGGGCGAATCGCTCAAATGGCTTCTGTTTTGTTGAGATGTTTTTTTTGCAAATGCGAATCCCATCTAGAACTACGCCCTCTCTTACAAGCGCTTCCTCTCTGCTTGAGAGAAGGATGGTCATCGAAGATGTTATACTATTAATCAACGAAAACAACGCTGCGAAATATATAGTATGAAATGCTTCCCATATGTCACGTCGCCCACTGTGTTACCATTTACTGTTCTCGCAATGCACTAATCCTCTCCTGTTCTTGTTTACCAATAACCAGTAAATGGTGGCCGAACCTCGTGTTCTTGCTATAATTTTTGAAGCAGAATAGATGTACAGTTTCGGTTGCCCAGACATACAGTGACCGCTAAAAAGTTGCGGACAAGTCGCCCTCCTGTTTTCAGCGCTTATTTTCAGATGGAAAACAAAGAGAAGAGATGGTTGGATTGCATTTGGTGATAGAGCTCATCAAGAGCTACAACCCACACATTGCCCTTTCTGGAAGGCACGTATTCTAAAAATTTCAAAAAAATTTTTCTAGAAAATTCCGGAAATGGCCGCGTCACAATGCCGCGGACAATAATTCTTCGAACGCAAAAATTTTCTTTTAGGTTTTTTCTTGGAGCAAAAGCAAATTTCTCGGACAAGTACGCATACTATATTATAGAGCTCATCGAGGTCAATAATCAGGTAGTGGTTACTTTCAAAAAACCCAAGCTTGATTTGATTTTGCTTTTCTTCAAAAAAATTTCTAATTCCCTTCTTCAAGCCAAATTTTTCGCATGAAAACCTATTCCAGAGATTCCAACAAAGCTGCTCGGATGAAACGCATGCTCTTTGCCATCCTCTATGCATTGAACATGTGCTGGTGGTTTCTTGGCTGAAAGTGGCTGTTGACAGTGCGTGCACATGACCTCGTCTGCACCTCACCACTCACTTGTACCGTTTTGCAGGCTTGTAGCTTGGCCAGCAGTCACTCTACGAGCCTGCAAATAGGCTCATTTGAAAGAGCGTGACTCAACACGGCGGTATGCAAATAAGTTGAGTTTGAGAAATCCCAGAGATTCTACGGAAGGGGTGGTAAAGCGCAGCCTTAGAGGTGTTTGGAGTGCAGGCTCTTATCAACACTAGAACAGTCCTAGAGCTCCGATATGGATCTATCACAAGGAAATGGACAGTTCTAAACTTCCAGGATGGAACCGGTGGCGAAAGGAGTTTTGCACAATCAGCAGGAAAATTTTTAGCCCACCACTGATGCTGCGCTTTACCTTCCCATCCGTAGAGTCTCCGCGATTTTTCAAACTCAACTAGTTTGCAAAGCATCGTGTCGAGAAATTCACGCTCTTTCGAATGAGCCTAAATGCAGGCTCGTAGAATAACCGCTGGCCGAGATACAAGCCTGCAAAGCGGTGCAAGTCAGTGGTGAGGTGCAGACGGGGTTATCTGCACGCACTGCCAAGGGCCATTTTCAGCAAAGAAACTCACCAGCACACGTCCGAAGAACAGCGGAAGGCAAAGAGCATCCATTTTATCTGAACAGCTTTGTTAGGATTTTTTGCATAGGTCACGTGAAAAAATTTGGTTTGAAAATGTGAATTAGAAGTTATCTTTTGAAAGAAGCAAAATCAAATCAAGCTTGGTTTTTTGGAAGTAACCACTACCTGATTATTGACCTCAATGAGCTCTATAATGTAGTGGGCTCATCTCTCAGAAAAACTTCTGTTTTTGCCCCAAACAAAGACATGAAGAAAAAATATCGCGTTCGCAGAATTACTGTCCGCGACATTGTGACGCGGCCAGTTTCGGACTTTTTTAGAAAAATATATTTAAAATTCTTAAAATACATATTCTCCAAAAAGCGCAATGTGTAGTTGTAGCTCTTGAAAAGCTCTATCATCTCATGCATTCCAATCATTTCTTTATCTCTCTTTTCCATCCGAAAATGAACGATGAAAAAAGGAAGGAGGCTTGTCCGCAACTTTTTGGCGGTCACTGTATACGTATAAAATCGTTCGCGGATTGGCAGGCAAAAGCTTGCGCAGCATTCTTGTCAAATATGCCTACCCAAGTATTTCGCAGAGCCGAAAGCATCGCCTTACTGTAACGTATATGCCTATTAATAGTTAAAGAGTGAACTCAAAAGTTCAACTAGTAAGTCGATTTCATTGCAGATGCTAACTTGCGCCCGTAGAAAAACGTTGGTAAATACTAGGATGAGTGGAAATCCATATCCTTCCTCGTTTGATGTAATGTACTCTAAAAGCATACGGTGCCACATATGGCTTCTGTTCGAATTTCCTTGAATAGATGCATTCAGACAATTTTGCGCAAATTTTCCAAAAGCACGTATAATGAAGTGTGGTGTGTGGGCGTCTACGAAATCGCTTTAGGTATGTATGGTAATCAAGCGATGAGCGATTTTCACGCGATGTTCGGTCGCCCAGGTAGTCTAGCCGTAATCGAAAATCCTAACGACAGGATCCCTGAAGGTGTGCCTTGGGCCTTAGGTGAAAACGTATCTCGGCCATCTGGGGATCTTAGACAGCAATCTCATTAAACTGGTGAATTGATCGAAGTTCAATATCTGTATAAGGAAGAGCAAGAAAAGCGCTTTCTAATGATACAAACAGTATTAAAGGTGAAATTCTCTTAGAGCAGCTGCTTCAAACATAAGTCAAAAAACACAGAGCTCCTAATAAATAACCTTAACATAACAACTCTGTCATACAGATGAATTTCTTTCATCTGCGAGATTGCTGATGTCATTTCTGCTGTATTCATCTCTACATCTGGCATCAAACTGATAAAAAGATCCTGTGTTTTCCTGATGTTGACTGGAGTTTAGACTCATCATTTTAAGATTGAAACCAAGATTGGTGTCCATATTTTTGGGCCTATTATCTGATACTTTTTGAAGGCTTCTGATATACTTTGCTTGGAATAGCCGTTCGAGGAATCCGAAGATCCAGTGAACTCTCCTCCTTGAGGTCCCCCCTTCCCGCTCGCCCAGGGTCCCCAACGGATTTGTCCGTTACGGGTTAAGTTGGTCAGCCAAGCCCTGGTAACTTTTACAGACATCCTATGCGTTTGGGTAAGGGACCAGGAACTCGGTCGAGAAGTCCTCACCCTCTGGCGAAGGAGAACGACCTGCACATTCCAGCATTGAAACGGATACACCAATCTGTGCCAGATTTCACCTTTCTGCATTTTTTCTTTCTCTTTATTGGTGCACCTATGCGTGTAATGAATAAATAAATAAATAAATTTTCAGGAATAGCCGAGTGTACTTACATTAGACTGCACTCTCTTCAGACCTTTTCTGAACTGTAACATTGAAACATAGCAAGGATTTATTCATTGTATTAGTGTTTCTTCACAGCCTTTGCCGCTTTCGCTTTTACAGCTTTCGCACTCTTCACAACTTTAGCGGCTCTCTCCGCCTTGATTCTCGCCTCAAGGGCGTGCGATCTTCTTGGACAAGGGCAATACAAAGAATCAGATCCAGGCTGTCCAGGTTGTCCCATTCTTCCTGGATTACCGGGAGCACCGGCCATTCCTCTCTCTCCAGGAACTCCCATCTCGCCAGGAGTACCAGGAGAACCAGGTGGTCCTGGTCTACCAGGATCTCCATTCGCCCCACCGCTACCTGGTGCTCCCGGCTGTCCTGGTGGGCCTGGTGGTCCTTGTCCTCCTTCTTGTCCATCGCGTCCTGCCTCACCAGGCGGGCCAGGAGGTCCATTAGGACCAGGAGCGCCAGGATTACCAGGCTGTCCTGTAAGACAAAACATGTTTCTTGATCTAATAGCTTAGAGATGTTGTTTACGTGTATTTCAACAAATAATGCAAAAGAAGATTGACTTTTTTGTGCTCATAAAATGTACTTGCGTGTTAGCCATCATGAGGGCAATCTCTGATGCGTGTTTGATATAAAAACAACCATAGGTGCTCTTTGAACTGTTCGATGTTGCAGTTCAACTTATTCCGCTACGGAGACGAAATGCAGATTTTGAGATTTTAGATTCTACTTTTTCTTTAAGAATTTTTGCTCATTTTTTCTTTTGATCTCTCAAATGAGCAAAGTCGAGACATACCAGCTTGTCCTCTCTCTCCTGGTGGTCCATCCATTCCAGGACTTCCGGGGTGACCGTTTGCTCCAGGAGATCCTGGTGTTCCGGGTGGTCCCGGTGGACCAACCGGGCCTGGTGGACAAATCTTACAGCTTCCATCTCCCCGGTCTTCCATCGGTGGAATGATTCCGGGTGCTCCTAAATTTGCGGCATTTGCCAGTTTAACTTTTATCGCTAATGATGTGACTCATACCTGGTGGTCCTCTAGAACCTGGTTTGCCAGGCTCTCCAGGAATTCCAGGTGTACCCGGAGCACCTGCTGGACCTCCTGGGCAGTTGTTCTGTCCACCACATTGGCATACACCCTGGGCTTGTCTTTCCCTACGGATGGTTCCGTGTCTTGTACTGTGCTCACGAAGTGAGATTGTTATCTCTTCATAGTGCATCTAAATTGGTAATCTAAATTTTGCTAGACCCCCATTTGTCAAAAATCCTTACCCTAAATTGGTCCATCCTAATTGTGACGTCATTTTTGATGGAGTCGGTCGTACTGTAAAGGTACGGCACGTACAACAGACAAACTGCAACCACTATCAGCCCAGCGCCGGTGGTGAGATTGGCGAGATGGCTGTCCATCTGAAAAGTAAAAAAAATTATAAAAGGTAAATTTAGAACCTAGCAAGCAAGTTGTGCTAAAGAATGAAAGTAGAACAACGTAACTTTTACTAAGGAGTCAGTGCACTGCCTTTTATGCTGTTGACTAAACAGGTCGCGGCTGCGGTCGAATCACCGGAACGCGTAAACAATCCACAATCAGAATGTTGCAGTGGCTTATTGTTATAAACAAACAAATTCCTATGTTGCAATAGGAAAAAAATTCAGAAAATTAAAGAGGCAGTTGTAGTAAATACTGTTTACAAAGCAAAAATGCTTTTTATTATTGTCGCAAAATAGTGTCGCATCATGTGCTATCAAGAGATATTGCTGCAGGGTAAGTAAGAAAAAAAATAGGGTAGCACTATACCGAAGCACGCTCTACAAAAAGAAGTTCCCATATTTGCATCAAGGATACACCTGAAGCTTGAATATAAAATTTTAAAGGCTCTATATGCCCGGAAAATTGAAAAAATAGTTTTCCTTCCAAAAAAATTACGTACTCCAAACTGTTCACGCGTCACTTGACATAGTAAGCAAATTTCAGTGATTTCTCCACGGCTAGAAATCGAAAATAAAATTTTGAATATTTCAATTTTAGGTTTCTTCATAGTTGATTTTGTAGTAATGACCTTTGAAATAATGACCATAAATTTCCAGCTCTCTACTAGTCTGCGGGGAACATCAAAATTGGCACAAAAAATCCGAAGTTCTATTTCTTTGCAATTCTAGGCATACAAAATTCGGTAACTGGACAATGATGTGGAGAGTGCATGCGTGTCCATACCTGAGATTGCATTTTAAGCGGATGTTCGGAAATCATATTTGTAAAACCTTTGCTCTATTAAATGATATTTTGATTACAGTTTCGAATGTTCACTCTGCCGCGGTAGTGATGCGAACTACGGCTAGCAGAAATTTAGTTACAAGATGTCAATTAAAGCACAAAATAAAATTCCTTCCGCACTCTGAGTTTATTCGGTTTCCTTAACAGCTGTAAACTAATTGTGGAACGCATTTCATTGTCGCTTTCCTGTCCATCTCAATGACGGGTGTGGGTCAGCTTACGCCTTATCTAAACTTCACGGAAAGGAGAATTTTATTCCTCTCTTGCCTGACCTGCTCAAAAATGTCCTACCACGCAACATCGCCTGTTAATATTTGCGCAGAAAATATTCTCTGCAAAAAAAAGCGATCGGAGAGTACTTTCGTAAATGATTGTGGTGGACAGTCATCTGGTGCAAAATAAAATCTTTGAGTGGTTTGTGCTTTTGTACCATCTACTACGAGGATCTCCATTGTTCAAGAGTTAAAATGGAAAGTCCAAATAATAAGAACCCCAAAACGCACAACTTTTGACTCGAAAAATTTCTGCAAACGTTATATTATATACTGATCTTTCACAAAAATTTTTGAGGTTGAGACTTATGAGACCTTAAGGTCGAACGAAGTCTGCACTGGTTATCCTCGGCTGAAGTGTTCAGTTTTGATTACAAGCAAAATGCATGGTTTTACATCAATCTCGTGAAGAATCAAGAGAACTGAGCCAGCTTGTTGCTACTGATGCAGTTTCAGGCTTTCTGTTTTGGTTTTTCTAACCGTACAATACAATGGTGATATACGAAGCATCTTATAGTGGAATATATGGCTCCAGATATTCTGTCATAAAAAAAGGCAACACTATTAGGGTGTCTCATAATTTTTTATCGTTTTTACTACAATCGCCTCATTTTCGCATCTTTGCTTCATCTGGTGTGGCTTGAATAATCATTCGACAGGGCAAAGCAAGCTCTACAAGGGTCACGCCGTCAAAAGTCTGCTCAACTCATATCCCACGCGAAGTTTTACGCTGAAACCTAATAGTAATCGAAAACGAACTTTTCTGTAAAAAAACTGTATCTGCGCCCCAAATCATCTAAAAAATCCCCCATTTATTCTACCATATGCTTGATGCATCGCGTAATAAACTGTACACTTCCCAAATTTCCATGGCTAGAAATAAAGAAAAAAAATGAGTGAGATAAAATGGCAAACTCCGCCGCTAGACGTCCTGAGCTCCTCTCACGCATGTGATCATATTGCCCATACGTACAGAATTACAATCATGTATTTGTATATTTTGAAGGGCCTGTTCTCGAGAAATGCTGATGGTTAGGGTAAAAAGAGTAAAAAATTATGAGAAAGCCAATATATCTAGCAAGGTTATTTTCTGATCTTGTATTTTGAGCTTTGCTCTTAACCTCTAAAATTATGCTGGACTGTTGCTCATGAGACCTCAAATACGTCGCTAACTTCCATCCAAAAAACACCGTAGAGAATTGAATTTATAGATGAAACTTCCATTACCCATGGGAACTTCACGCTAAGTCTCTTTGAAGTACATAAGTCCTTGTCTGTCTTGACATCAGCAGGCTCAGCTGTAAATTCTCAGGTTCCGGCGACAAGCCTTGGCTTTTAACTTCAGATGTCTGATTAGCACTTTTGCTATACACAAAGTCATGTTTTTGCATTTCTCTTAAAGAAGACACCTGGTAGTGACTGGAATTCAGAAATAAGTGGTGCCTTGAGACTTTACAAAAAAAGAGTAATTGCAAGTAGTCAGTCTGATGAAGACGAAAAAGAAATCCTGTCAGCTGACTAGCATCCACTTCCTATGTTTGAATATTTAGTGAAAAAAATATGGTTGCGTGTTGCTCTCAGCAATCTGTAATGCATATTTATTCACATAGCGTCTTGGAAACATTTTTTTTACGGAATCCTGATAACAAGTGTCCAAACTTCACAAAAATCAGTGTTATCTAGTCAAGATGCAACCGTTTTTATGAGCCAGATCGCAATCTTATTTTTGGTTTCTGGGCCAAAGAAGTAGATTTTTGGGAAATGTAGATTTTTCTGGTTGAAAAATTGTATAGAACTGTCTAGTCAGATAAAATTTCTTTTTCGAGAGAGCCAGCAAGGAAATTATTACTATTCTACTTTTTCATTTAAAATTAGGGAACAGGACTATAATTTGAATCTTTTATCTTGCATAATACAAAATAAAAAATCCATTAAATTTTTTCAAAATCTTCCGGGTCATTTGGCTCAGTTTTTCCAGACATCCAGTGCAAATCAGTGTGCGCCCAAATAATTTCATGTCTACTGGCCAGGAAGAGCTAAGAAAAAATGCAAACAATCTTTCCTTCATCTTCCCAATGCTCACTACTTTTTAAAAAGGTTCAGTGTCGATCATTCTTTTTTGCCTTTTTTCTCTTCATAGATAAGCATTTTACTCCACAATTTATTCATCCTTTTAAATGCAATGCTAATCATATAAGCTAGAAAATATGCTAAATGAGTAACGATGACTATTTCCTGCAATCTTCTCAGTGTATGTGAGTACGAAATCCATGCAATGCTGCAGTCTCATTCGTGGCATTGAACTAACCAGCTAATTATCTTTGGATAAGATCTTGCTTGCCAATCAGTGCATGGACATTTTTTTCCGTATAGTACCAACCAATCTACGACTTTTTTCCTTTTTTGTTCAATTCCTTGCTATTTTCCGCAAAGTTTTTATTAAGTTGGCTAATAAATAATTTCGGTCGCTTTTGCGGCTTCTGTAAACGCTGCAGACAATTTTTTGCTCAGTTTTCGGTGTCTCTGGAGAGAGCATTTCTATGAGAATTGGAAAGTAAAATCTTTGGTGTAAGAAATCCGCAAAAAAGTAAGAAACCCTAGTTTTTTCATTGTGCGCGAATATCCGAAAATTTGGTTTTCTGGTCAAAGAATTTTAGAATGGCAACACAATTTTCAATGTTCTTCGCCAATTAAGGAAAACTTATCTGTACCCAAAACCCAAACTGCTATTCTCTATTATAGCAAGAAAACAAAACAGTGGCAGATCGAGCTTTTGAAATTTTAGCCATATTGGGACATAACTGTCTCTTACTGGTAACTGAAAATCCTTGATAGTTGAGATATGGTGAAAGAAGCTTTAAGCTACATCTCCACAAAAAAACAAGGATAAAAACAGGTAGGAAAGCTTTTATGAATTTTTATGCCAAAACGAAGTTATTTTTTAGCCGACCTAATAGTAAACGTCATGAGGAGACTTCCCCCAGCTTCCTGCTGGAGTCCTTTTGTCCTGCCACGAATGTTATCAAGTTTCTAGTGTACATATAATCTGCATGTGGCAGAGTTTTTTAAAATTTTAATTTATCCGGTGCCTCATAGTATTCAATTCGATAAGAGCATTAGCAAGAACTGCTTACTAGCATAAACATCATCGTAAAAACAAACAGAATGTGTGTGAAAATGCTGCCAACATTAATTAGAACTAATGAAACTCTTTCCTCTCCCTCATGGGATACCAGATACTCCAAACACTATTGCAACAATCTTGCTAGAGTAATGCTAATGTAAAATCTCCGTCTGTTTGTTTTTTGCCAATTCAGCTAATCAAACGAAGCCGAGCATGAAGCCTGCAAGCTTTTCTGAAAACTTTCCACTCTGTCATTTGCTATGTATGGACACATTACGTCCTTACCCGTCTAATTGATGTTGTTTTTGCAGTTTTCTCTCACAATCAATGGGTCCGCTCTCGAGTTTCGATATCACTCAACACTCTTTCAGACGCATCTAATAGAATAAGTCTGGATGTATGATGAGCTATGTGTGGTATCTGCGTGAAGGCTATTTACTGGTGTTAGATTTCATCTCTTAATTTTCTAAACATCGACTACTAACAAAAATTTTCATGCGTACTTCATCTATGTTTTTGCATCTGGACCATCCTAAAGTTCATAAGTCAGAGCATTGTGCGCTTTATGCACAAGTAAAACCAAATCTAACCTTATATTCACTCTGCTTCACTATTCCCTGAGTTCTTGCTTCACTATGCATCAAATAAGCCTTTCTTAGCTTATGACCTAGAGAAAAAGAGTCTGAATTGAATTTTTGCACTCAAACCGTTCTTTTTTTGTCAGCAGAATAAAATGCCC